CCGACGATCGTGCACGCGGCGCGCACACACCTAATGGAATGGATATGAGCAAGCACTCGAAGAAGAACTACAAGCTCTAGTAACTGCATCACCTTATGGATGTAGCCCTCATCCCTAGGACAGAGGTGGTTTCATTTTTACTCTGCTCTTCTGTTTCTCATTGCTTCCACCAAAGCCTCTCCACCTACCACAGCTAGAGGGTTTTCAAACTCCCAAGCCCCAGAGGATGTTTCTTTCAGCCACTTGTGCCCTCATCCTGGTCTGTACCAATGTTATGGGGGCTAGCGCCTGCGGGGTGGGTTATGATCTGTGTGATCACTGGTGGAACCACATGACAAATTGTATTCATCACCTCGCCTACACTCGGCCCACCCACCTGGCCCCAACCCCAGGGCCTCGTTCGAACATTCCAGCTCTTGGAGCAGCGTCAAGCATTTGCCATAAAAAATTAAAACATCCGGCTTCCCAGAGAAAAGTTTCTGCTTTTAGGTATTCCTCCTTCTTCCCCTCCCCATGCCCCCCAAAAAAGAACAGTGGCTTCTAAGGTAGTTCAGTATCAGCCTCACTTCACAGAAGGGAAACTGAGGCACAGAAAGATTAAGTGACTCTCCCATGGTCATTAAGGAAAGTTTAGGGTGATGGGAGCCCTGAGTTCAAAACCTAAGTCCCAGTGCCCTGACCGCTATCCTGCCTTCCATCTCCCAGTAAAAAGGTGCTAATCTGCTGCCATGAGACCTTACAATTTACCTTCAGGAACTCAGGGCAGAGGATCCAATCAGTTTTCTCCCTCCCCTGCCCCCACATATGATTGCATCTGATTGGGAAGAAACAAACATCTTTATACACACAGTGGTTCTGCTCTTTCTTGCTCATCGCAGCCCTTCAGCCCCTAAAGCATTTGTCGCTCCTCTTTAAATGTTTCTCAACATCCGTCTCGCTGGTGTTGACTGAAATGCTTCCTGCTAATTCAAGTTCAGCTCATTACAACTGGTGCAAGAGAGAAGCAGAGGAGAACGCAGATCACAATGGGCAGAAGGGTTCTCACTAGACGAGGCTCAGATGTGACGATACTCCTGGATCGCTGCTTTGCTTTTGGTCAAGGTGGTAAGCTTTGTATGTGATAGTCTTACATTTATTATAGCGTTCAGCTCATCCCAGAGGGTGACAAAAATCATTTCATCACAAAAAATTAAGTCCCTTCTAGCACACTATATGCGTTAGCCAATACATATATTAGGGTGGTATACGCCACATTAATATACAAAAAAGTGTTGGGAAGTTATGCTAACAATGTATTACGCTCTCCCTACAATTCTGTTCACCCGTGTCAAGTATCCCTCAATACTGTGCAAAGCTGAAGTCCGCTTTGGCATTAGAAAACAGGAAACTTATCCGACAAGGCAAAACATCAGTGCTCTGCCTCCGTGCAAGCGAGGGAGGTACATTTGCAAACCAGTATCTGGAATGTAGTATCCGAAAGAGATTAGGAAAGTGCAGAACAAAACAAGACAAGGGACTGTTATGAACTGGCGGGTTGGATTTTAAGGGAGGTATCAGGAATTTTGTAACTTGTCAAACCATACCATAAATATAGCTAGTTTAAATGCGTATTTCCAAAGTACACCTTCTGCGTACGAAACACTGCAAGAATTTGCTTCCCAGAAGGAGAGTATGTGTGTCACCTTTTTGTATTAGCTCAAGACAAAACAGTACAATATATTTGATTATTTGGGCTCTTCAACATTTTAACGAGTGAACTGTGAGTGTAAATCAAACAACTGGCTACGTCGTGCTACGCAGCAGTGGAAGGGAGGAAGACTCAGTCGAGAATACTAGGCAAATCCCTTCCCTATTTGGTATGCAAGCTCTGTGGGGCAGGGTCTGTCTTCATTGGGTGCATGCAGTGCTTAGCACAAGGAAACCTCCTGATTCTTGCCTGTATTGCAGTAGTGCCCAGAAGCCTTCCAAAATGTTTTCATTTGGGAAGAAGTGCCATGGCAAACTACCATCCCAAGACCTCAATTTACAGTCTCTTATGAAATACCCTGCGATGTTAAACTTCACAGAACAGGTTTTACCTTGATCAGAGGGGAGGATGTGTTGATTAGATCCTGTTGGGATTTGAACCAGTTGATCCCGGGAATCTAAATATTTCAAACCTGATGCTTAAGATCACTAAACCCTCCCCTTGGGTTGAGAATAAGACATTGTGTCAATTTTCCACTGCCTTCCAGTTGAAACTAAAATCAGAAGGCAGAAATGGAAGACCCCTGCTGGGAAAAATTTTCAAACATGCTTAAGTCTCACTGAATTTCAGTGGGAGTTGGACACAATTTTACCCATCATGCTATCTAATCCAGCTCCCTGTTCCCTATGCTTTTGCAGGGCTTTGTCCAGCCTACCGTAAAATGACTCCATTGATAGGGGTTTCTACCACTTCACATTACAAGCTATTCCAGTCTTAGATCTGAACCAGGAAATGATAGAGTATGTGCTCTTCATTTCAGCCCACCTATTTTTTTTGGAAAGTCAACTATGTCTGTTATGTGCATGTTTGTTTGCTTGGTAACAAGTACCAAAGCTTTTAAAATTACCTCCACCATTACAAAACAGATGTCTCGAGAATAAATTCTGTTTTCACCACTGTAAATAATCTTGTCTATCGTATCTTAGATTGGAGCTGGTCAAATATTTAGGAATTGCTTACATGACAGTTTTCCCCCTTGATCAATTAAAAAGCATTCCTAAATAACACACATTATTCAACACTGATTCACACGCAGCGTTAAAAAAACGCTCCAATAAACACCAAAGAATCACACAGATTTGCTACTACGAAGAGAATGCTTTATTAGTTACAACACTTCATTCAGCTAAATCCACATAGTAATCCATACAGAAATACTACAGAAAAAAGTGCAAATTCTCAGTCTGTATTTATAATACACCCCGATTTTTTAAAAGAAAAGGCATTTGGAGTAACAAATGGAACCAGACTAGGTAACAGATCTAAAACGCTCCTGGGTTCTCAATTGAGAGCAATGACTTTAGGTATTGTGGGTGCAATCATCTTGGAAGAATCAGCCATTGAGCATTCATGGGAAAAGCTGCTACACTCACACTGGGAATCTGAGGCGCTCGGAATGCCGGGGCTTCCCCATGCAAACTGCACCCCTCTTCCCTTGGGCGTGGTCAGAAATGCTCACAAATGTTTGTGCCTAAGTTCTAGGTCAAAAATCAATGAAAGAAATATCCACCAACTCCTTACTTGATCTTTTAGGATCAATAGTTTCCTGAATAATGGCAAAAATCTTCCCCCTTGTGCTGAGGCCAACTAGCTGGGCTGGGCGTGGAGGACTGGGATCCTTCTGTCCCTCAGGCTGTGAAGTGACAGCAGACTCCCTACAACCCAGACTTTGCAGTAGCCATCACTGCTTCTGCGCTGCACTCTGGTGTGGGGAGCTGAGAGCCCACTCACATGCGCCAGACACCTCCCTGTAGCAGAACACTGAGCTTGGGGCCTTTCATGGAGAAAGGGAGACAGGATTTGGCCCTCGATCTAAATGCAAAGGAATTGCTCCTGTGGTAGAAGAGCAGTGGCTTGGCAAATGCCTCTGCCATTTCAGGTCAGACACTGTCTAGATGGAGGCTCAAATACATCTCAAAGCAAGAAGCTGTCAACCCACAGGGCCCTGACCCTACAGTGTGTGTGTGGGGAGGCTCATCTCACTTTAACGGGGCTGGGAGGGGGGCGGAACAGAGATATGCCCCCACACAGCCAGTTTTAAGCGTAGGCCTAAACTTTACTCATTACTTAGCACTAGGGGCTTTGCCCTGCCTGAAGCTAGCAGTGACCACGCTCTTGCTTTCCATGCAAAAGCATCAAGGAAGTTCCTAGAACTCAGGATGCTTCATAAAACATCCCTCTCCCCCAGCTATAGGGAGCAAAAGCCAACACCGCTGGAGAGGCAGAGTTCAGGAATACTAAGGGGGCACTGGCTGAGAGAAGAAGAATTTCAGAGGAGGAGAGGGCATCTTCCCCCAGGTAAACACATGGCGGTTTTCTTAAAAATTTCCAATTTCCCTCCCCCCCCCCCTTTTTTCTTTTTAAATAAAAGAGAGAGAGAGAGAACACTGAAATTGCTGGTATCCTGGTCTATGTGAGAGTGGGGGATAAAGGTGGTACCTGAGCATAGCAGTACCAGGGATAGCATTATTGCTGGCACCTCCGCGGGCAGGCACCCTATGAATGAAGGAATGCAACGCTTAAGCCCACTCCAGAGCTGCATGTTGCCGGTAAGGGGATGTTGCTGCTGTGTGTTATCACAGACTACCCCAGACTTCAAAGCAAAGTTAGCCAGCATTTAACCAACCTGCGCCAACCACACTGAGGGAGGAAATGCCCTCTTCTCAAGCCACAAAGCGAAAGTGCAGAGCAATCTTGTCGCTAATGGGTTACAAGATCAAGCCAGTAGAAGACTGGCTCCTCCTCAGGTCGCTTCCCTTCACTGAAGTCCTGTCATATACACAAAAACAAAACGCCCTGGGAGTCCGTGATTGGGCTTGCATTCTAAGGGCACATCAGTGTACACCTTCTCTTGTGGGCTTCCCTCTGCCAAAACCCCAGGTTAAGTTCCTTAATTCCCGTTCAAGTCTTATTGAATCAAAACAGGAGCCGTGAACCCTGCAGGTGAACTGTATCAGGTTCAGCCGTCAGCTGAGAAAGATCATTTTAGTGTATTCCATTTATTCAGTCCCATTTTCACGGGAAAGCATCCTGACCGCAAAGACAGAAGAGGAAGTAATTGTACTTCTGACTACAATAAGAGGTTCACCTACGTTTTGCTTTAGGACATACCTGTAGTCATTCAGTGCTGCACTGCCAGGAGAGAGGGGAAGCACACATTAACAACTTTTGCTTTCCACTCCTTCTGCAGCTCCAAGTTTCCTCCAGAGCTGTGCCAAGCAGTGATATTACTACTGAGGGAGGTGGATAACAACTGTCGATTCCCTTTTACTAACTGAACAGCAAGCACTTCACATTCGGAAGAAGATGGTGCTTATACAAAACACAAATAGAAGAGGTGTATTATAAATAGTGTCAACTTGCCTGGCAAATTTCTTATGCTTTAAAGGATCATATCCTAGTCCCATGGAAGTTCTGCCACAGACTTGAATGGGATAGAGATTAGGCCTCTGTATGCAGCAGTGCAAAAAAAATAATAATAATAATGAATGAAACTACTCAAATGCTAGACACAAATAATCACTGGCTCTATCATACCTGATGAATCGCTCCACACCAACCTTTAAAAATGCATCTTAACAGGAAGCGCCGTAAGTCAGTAAACATCCAGACCAAAAAACTGGTTCGGTTTAGAATTAGTCCCCTCCCCACTCACAGTTTAAATATTTCTACAATGCAAACAAAACTATTAAAAACGCCCATAACTGAAACTAGATTGTGCACAAGTTCAAAGTGCTGAGGAAGTAGGTACAGCAAAAAGTTACTCAGCAGTGAGGTAACAAGATGATCATCTTTCACAGTAACAAAAGTAGGGGAGGGAATGCAGAGAAAGGAAAGAACACAACTTCTCCAAATGGAATAGTAGGGATACTTCAAGCATTAGACATATCAATGGAAAACAATGGTAGCAGCAGATCAAACAGCAGTAATTATTATACCCTTAGAATACAGTCATTCTGGTGGCTCACTTGCCCACCTTCCAAAAGCACTTCATCCATGATGTACTGCTTAAGAACTAAGGGCCTAATCATCAGTTGAAGAAAACCACTGATACTCAGCTCCGCCAGATTCATCCAGTCTCAAAAGCATTTTAAAACCTGCATCTTGTAAGTGTTCAATGGCCTGGTGCTCATGTTAAGATTTACCTAATACTGGATGAGATTCAGACTAGGGATGTAAATAGCGTGTAAAAAAAAGTAACCGTGTAACCTATTAAAATTCTGTTGGTTTAACGTTTAACCGGAGAACTAGGGATGCGGGGGGGTGCTGTAGCATTAGTCTGCACCCGACTGCTGGCCCTGTACCCGGGGTCCCGGCTGCCGCTGGTGCCCAGCATTTGGGTGTGTGGGGTGGCAACCGGGACCCCATGGCGGCAGCCAGGATCCCAGGCACGCGGGGCGGCAGGAGAGTTTAATCGTTAACTGAAACCGATAAGCATCAAGCCTATTGATTATCCAGTTAAACTTTTGCATCCCTAATTCAGACCAGGCTCGGCTAACCAGCTACTAGGAAAGCAGATCTGAAAGCCTTACACAATTGTATGTGCTACACCATACCCAGAGCTGACCTATCCACATACACAACTCCATACACCTTTAACGTTTAGCTTTGTTCAAACCACGCACACAAAAAATGAATTGTTCTCTTCTGAATTACAAAAAAAAAAAAAAAAGATTCAAAACCCCAAGGACTTGATCCTACTGCCAATGAAATTAATGGCAATGCTTCCACTCACTTTAGTGGGACCAGAATCAGGTCTGAAGTTTAACTTCCATCAGGAAAAAAAATGCCAAGTCCAAGCAGCAACTTAAAAAGACTTGCCCCACATATCTTTGGATACTTCCAATTCTGTGCAATATTGTGAAAACAGTAAAGCTTCATTGCTTTCACGCATTTCTCCCTCCCCCCAACCATCGCACTCACAAATATACAATAATCAAGGGAAAGAACCCTTTTTGGCATAAGAGAAATTTCTCTCAATTGTGAGGACAACTTGGAAATCTCTCTTAAAATAAAAAAAATAAATAAACATTGCTTGTAAATAAGCATCTGTGCGACACAGACAGCTTCCTGCAGTACATGTACATTCATATATAGCTAAAATATGTATTTATGGTCATAGTGCAAAGCCTCTGTCAGCATGACATATCCAATATCTGCACAGAAACAGAAAACATGTTGTCCTTTATATCTGCCTAGCTGAGATATGTACAGCATCGTTCTGCACTGTCCTACAGAACTTAGCTATAAGGGTATAATAGAGGACAAATTCAAAGGTTTAACAATAGTGGCAAACAATGGTTTAAACAAGTGCCTCTTGGGATTTATGAACTCCGCTAATCACGGATTTGGAGCTGATTAATCAAAAAAGATATTACTAGAGTCCTATAACCGTGTTTGGGCATTACACACCATAGTATGTAGTTGTGTATTCAATTGTTCTACTTAGTCTATATTAGTACCATAGTGGCTAGATGTCCAGAGCATCACAGTTCTTATTCTAGAGATTTCTATCACCAGTTTAGAAAGACAAAGTGTCAAGCATTAGTCTGCACCCAGGGACATGAGCATCCAGAGGACGCCAAACAGGGAAGCAGTATGCTTTTTAAAATACACTTTTCCCAGACCAGGTGCTCACAGCAACCTTCTGAAGACTTTCCACATTAAGAAAACCAGGTTCTAGTCAAAGCAGAGTAAGGGACTAGTTAGGAATTATATAATTAGGAATAACAGCTAAAAACTTACACGAACAGATAATTAAAGTGAGTTTAGAGGAAGGATCGAATATTTGCAGGCAGGTAACATCAGGAGCTAATTTATAGATGCAACTGTAAGTGAAGAAAAGTGAGAGTAAAGGGGTGAATACACAAAGCCCATGTCTCACCTCCATTAGCTTTCTCATAAGTGAGCAGAGAACATGGACACTGTAGTTTCAAGATGTTAGAGAAATATTAACTGGATTTTCACATAGTCCTCCCAAAACTGCATTCACAAGGCATCTATATTTTAGAACAGCCTGCTTTTAGATGTTTTAATTTGAGATAATGTAGAATGAGATCCAGAATATTTTGGGAGAGTTTTATAAAATGAAAGAAAGCTACCTGATTAAACTATGCTCAATGGGCCTCTGGTGGTTAGAATCACTAATTTAAACAAGACAGAGATTATTTCCCCTGATTAGGACATCCTGGAAAGGCACTGTTTGATCAGTCAAAAACCAAGCTGCGAATCAAATTGCATGGAGTTGCCACGATTGTTTCACCGTTAAGTAAACATCAGTATTTTAAGATACACAGGAAAAAATACAATGCACTAAGAGCCCCTCTAATACTAGGATATTTAAATGGCTGAAAACCATATACTAGAACAACTTGTCTAAACTAGACATTTTAAATACTAAACTCTATTTTAAACATACTTGTAAATTAAGACCTGTAACAGTAAATTATACCGACACACTCCACAGCAATGAAGAAGCCGGCTCATTTTGTCAGTCTTATGTGATTGCTAATTCCCTTCAAATACACTTAGAACTAACAGAACTTTTTGAATTCAAGTCTTTTCAAATCAAAGGTGCTAGGTATTAGTTCATTCAACATGAAACTCAGTGACTTATGCTACAGCAGAGTTTAGCAGTCTTAACCCTCTGGAGTGCTACATTTTGAACTATGGGAGTTGACTTCATTATGTTAATGTACATGTGTCTTTTGGTCAAAAGAACATGAAATTGTAGATATTAACTCCCCCAAATCAATTTGCCAGCCATAGCTTTTTGCTGGAAAACTGACAAAAAGATGCTGCCTCTTTATTGGTTTTAAGAATTTAGGCAGTTAGGTAACTGACATACACACGCACACACAATTAATGCTAAATGGAGTTCTGATCTTGGTTCCTTTGTTCCACATGATACAGCGCAAGGAGAGTCACTTCTATAACAAACTGTTGGGGGAGATCTACACGGAACGCCAGATCAGTCCATTCTTACTGGGCTCCAAAAAATTCTCAATCAAAGCTTCAATGACTTTCTGTAGTTGTTCTTCCAGAAAGGTTTTGTCACTAGAAGGAGAAATCAAATGGCTGAAGTTAGAGTAATATCAAGTGATCTATCCCAAAAAAGGCAGCTCCAACACTTTAACAAACTGAGTTTGATTAGATTTCAAAAACCTCAAAAGTCCTTCAGAAGACTTCTTGCCATTCAGCTAATTGTAATGTTCCTACTTGCTGAGCTTATAGACTTAGAGTCAATTTGTTTACTTTACAAAAAAGACGATTGAGAGGTGACCTTGATTACAGTATACAAGTACCTTCCTGGGAAGAAAATATTATGTGCTAAAGGGCTCTTTAATCTAGCAAGCAAAGGCATAATAAGAACTAATGGCTGGAAGCTGAAGCCAGACAAATTCAAATTAGCCACAAATCTGAAACACTGAGAGGTATTAACCATTGGAACAAACTACCAGGTAAGTGGTGAATTCTCAGTGTCTTGGAGTCTTCAAATCAAGAAGACCTTCTGGAAGATATGCTGTAGTTAGTCCAACAAGTTACTGGGCTCAACATAGTGGTAACTGGGTGAAATTTAAGGGCCTGTGATAACAGATGGTCAGAACAGATGATGTAATGTTCCCCTTCTGGCCTTAACTCCTATGAAATCTAATTAATGAAAGCAGCAAGGGAAGAAAATCAAGACCAAATCCATTAAACAGAACAGCATGTCTCTCTCCTGCTACTCCCTGTTGTACAATATATTTCCACTGGACGCAAGAGGAACTGACTCACTCAATCGGATATTAAATTAATTTGACCTATTTCTACTTATGTCCTGTCTAGATCAGTTTTGGCCATTTTGACCGTGCACAGGAACTCACAAGAGACTGGTTGCTCTTTAACCCTTGAAAACTTAAAATACAAACTACCATTGAAACAGAAGAGCACATCATGTAGCATAGTATAGTACGCAGTTCCTGACAGAGACCAAAGAATAATGCTTCAGAGGGAAGCATACAACCTCTATCATTCACCTAGCTCAGCAGTGCTATTACAATCGGGGAGGAAGTGCCTTTCTGATCAGCAGCTGCTGATCATCTTATGCTCTGGAGTAGAAGGGCTTGATAGTCCTTCTAATTTCTATCCTGGAGAGTAAATGCAGATATTCTTCCTATCCATTTCAATGTCTAATCCTTTTCAGAAAATTAAACGATTTCTTTGTATTGGTTACTAAAACAAAACAAAAAACAAAAACCAGCAAGATGTGCACACACTTTAGGGGTCTGAGCCAAAGCCCAAACAAGCCAATGGAGTCTTGCCATTAACTGCAGTAATGCCATTAACTGCAGGCCTTTACTAAGTAACTGGTTTATTGTCATTCCTCTCTAAGCTACTCACTGGCACCACGTATGTCAGTATGCTCTCCAGGGCAGGCGCAGTGCCTTTGCTGGCAGATTACTGGGTATACAAAGATGGTTTGCCTTAGTTATTTTCTGCACCTTCCTCTTTTGACCAGTTAAAAAAGTATAAAGAAAGTCAGACTGTTGGCCCAGTTCCAGATTTAAAGAAAAAAGTCTTAAACAGATTGAGAACTCCCAAACTGACATGCATGAAGAGAAAGCATCCACACGAATACATAGAAAGAGATCACATGCACCAATCAAAGAACTGGCAAGAGCTGACATTCAGAAAATTAGCATTCACAATGCCTGCCACTTCGAGTTGCTATTGCCCCAGCTCTAGTTAAACAGAAAATCTATTCAAGGACCTCAGTAAGATAAACAGCTACTAACTGCAATGTGTAAACTGGAAGTTAAATATATTCAAACTTGGGGACCAAAAAGTATCTGCATAAATTTGAACGTAGGTGGCTAAGTAACTGACCTGACTTTCCCAAGGACAGAACATCCATTGCTCTGATTGACTGCGTGGAATGAGCATGCTTGGTACCCTGAAAATAAGGCCACTTGAAGTGTCCGTCTTTAAGACCTTCCCAAGTTTGAAAAGTAAAATTAAGTGTTGAGAGTGGCTCTCACTTGGGAGTAGTGTGGCCACCCTAAACCCCTTCCTTCCAAGAGTAATAAACACTGATGATACAGATGCTATGTGGTGGTATAAAACGTTTCTCCCCCAAAAAGGCACTTGGGACACTAAAGAGGAGTGTGTTTTTTTTTTAAAAAGAAGTGGGAAGAGATGAGCCAGATTGGCTATCAGAGGGAGGAGAGTTTCATATGCGCAACTTACCGACACAAAGATTTCATCGCCAGATAACCTAGGGTGCAATAGTGTGGGTGTTTACTACAGTTCATGGACCTCTCCAAATAAGCAGAGCTTGACTAGGAGTGAAAGAAAAGTTTTTGCTCCAGGATTAAAATTTTTTGTGGGGAGGGGGTTTGCAGCAGCAGACTCGTGAAATTCAACTTGTCCATTTTATCCACGGCTAACAGAGTGCTAGCATCAAGCCTCATGAGCCGATCCATGCACGCAGCTTAACAGCCCGAAACCCTCAACACCTGTCTGTCAAGTCATGTGCATTAGACCCAGCAACTAGGGTGGGGAAGCTTTTATCTTTGCAGAATGCGTCTCTCCTAATGCCTGTTCACCTACAGGTCTGTGGAAATATTTTGAATGAGACGGGTGCAGTTCCAATACTCACCATGCACAAGTCAAGCGAAAGGAGTAAAGATTGCACAGAAAAGACACAGATTCAGCAAACCAAGCGTTGACACAATGTGGAAAGTGGAATCCCTCACCTCTGCTCAGGCCGCGCACACATCTCTGCATAGTACTTGATCTTTGGCTCAGTTCCACTTGTCCGGAGGGTGGCAACACACCCATTTTGAAAGGTGAAGGTGATCATCTGACTGTTTTTACTCGCAGGCAACACCTAATGGAACATCATCATCATTTTAATCTGTACAATCAACATGCATCTCCCCTCCCTGCTATACTAAGTATCATGCATTGCATACAAACTCTGACACAATGCGAACAAGTGATCAATATGAAAATTAGTTTCCGACGACCTAGTGCTGTCTACATGGGAACTTAAGCCAATTTAACAACACTGCTCCGGAGTTTGGATTTTTCACATCCCTCTGACCGATGTAGTTAAAACCAATCTAATTTTCTAATATAGACCAGGCCTTAATTATCCATGTGTAAAACTAATTTTAATTAAATTATGGATATCTTAGTGGAAATTAAAAAAAAATTCTTTGGTGAATAATTTAATTGTTTAATTAATATTAAGATTTTACCCACTGATGGTATCCTTTAAATCAAAGGTGTTTAAATTACCTTGAAGGTATTGAGCTTTTCTGTAACTTAAATGAGTTTCCTTTAATCAGCACCTTGAATAAAAACCTGGTTGTAAATCTCTGCGTTTCATTTACAGCTATTTGCTTTTCAAAGTTGGATAGGGAACATAGCTGAAAAACTTCATAGGATGGACGCTTGTTCACATCTCCCCAAACATGGTTCAGTTACATTATAATGAAGTCAGTACTTTAAACAATTTTCACAATAATGCTAATATCTATCAGCATTAGCAGAAGGCCCCTAGCTTAAAGTCGTTCTAGTTTTTTATTTATGTGGAAAGGGCATAGGACAGACTTTAATTAATGTGATAGATTTAAATTGTCTGCATCACTGTATTTTCAAGAAAACATAAAATATATAAGAATTCTTCCACAGACATAGCTGTTGCCTTGCGGGGAGGTGGATTACTTCCACTGATGGGAGAACCCCTCCTGTCAACACAGGTAGTATCTACACCAGAGGTGGGCAAACTACGGCCCGCGGGACCATCCTGCCCGGCGCCTTAGCCCCTGGCCCCTCCCCCGCTGTCCCCCTCTGTCTCCCAGCTATGCCACCCCAGGGGCAACACTCTAGGCGGCGGAGCTGCTCGCTCCTGCCAAGCATAGCGGCAGCGAGTCTAGCTCTGGGCGGCGCAGCAGCCAGACATGCTGCTCTGCATGGCATGGTAAGTGCAGGGCCAGTTCTAACTTTTTTGCTGCCCC